CTTCCTTCCTTCCTTCCTTCCTTCCTTCCTTCCTTCCTACTTTAGATTTCATCAAGTACATCCCATTCAGGTCCTTCTGAATTAACAAAGCAATGTGGGACATCAGCATTGTTTCAGCTGGCAGAGGTAGTATTAAAATCCTGTGGCTTAATTACTACTGGTGCATTTGGGGAAGAGAAGCTGAATGATGTTTGTTGCCAAGATCTGGGGAAAAGAAGTAGTACAGGCATAATTAGCTTGTTGTGTATAGAACGGTAAATTATCATGTTGGTATCAAGAATCTAGATTTACCTCATCTAATCAGTAGGCACAATCTTCCTAGGATCACATCAGAAACTTAAGAATTGCTTACTTAAAGAAGCTGTAACACAACCACAGAGAAAACAAAAAAAAAATGGCTCATGTTTTTGGTAATGCTTTATATTCTCAGTGGGAATACTCACACAAATGGTACATGAGTGGGCTGTGTTACTTGTTAACTTGTTGCTGTTCTTGTCAGCCCATGACATTCATGCAGCCTCATTCTGTACGTTAACAGAATTGCCTATCCAAAACACAGTTCCCAACAGTCCATCACAACAGAAATCAAGAAAGAGAAATAAAGATGGATACATCATTATTCTCAGTGAGTGGGATCCCTACAGTCTTGTCAGACCTTTGCAGCAGAGGTAGCCCTAACCCAAAACTGCCCTTTGTGTTGGTACATGAAGCAGAATATTGCACAAGGACACCTGCCACACCCTGGCAATAGAAATGCTATAACAGCATTTGCAAAAACACTTCCAGGGTGCACAGGAATGACACATTTTGTTACTTATCCATTTTAGTATAAATTGGTATTGTCCCTTAGATGATGCCACTGTATTCTACATAGAATCTGTACTGTATATAATTTACATCTGTAATCTTTATGGTTGAAATTGGTTTACGTTTCAATTGTATTTGTTTTATTCAGTTTTATTATTAGCTGTCTTGAATCCAGTTTTAGGCAGAAAGGTAGGGAATAAATTTAATCAATAGTAAAGAGCAATTTTGTTTCTGAGGGAATGAAAGTCTTTGCTCAGTGAGTAATAAAATATTGTAGCTTGAACATTTGGAAAGTGTTGTATGTTCACAAACAAACTAACATAATCCTTTGAGGTAAGTTTGTTGTGTTTGGGGCCATACTTGTATAAAAATATCATCGGTGTACAGCCGTTTTCAGTAGGCAATGTAAGGGGGACAGCAGGTTTCTCATTTTTTCCCAGTGCACACAGTGTACTAGGATTAATCCTTCAGCTTTATTTTTAAAATGATTGATTGATTGTGCCTATACAAACACTTAAGAGTGGTGGAAACTAATCAAAAAGAAATTGTTTGTACATTTGTACCTATTTGTGTCATGTCAAAAACTGTCAGAACATCCTCATCACTGTAGACTAGGGATAGATAGTGGGAAATCCTTTTGCATAAAGTTACACCAGAAAAACTGGAAATATTTAATTTAAATAAATTGAAGATTTTTTATCATCCTGTTTCAGGTTCTGAAGCTCCCTACAGCTCCCTTTTTGCCCCATTGAAGCCTTTAGGAACCTCACGACTAGGGAGCAGGCTTTAATAGTCATAAATCAGCACTAGATCGCTACCAACAGTCTCAATTCCAGATCCAACGTACACCACTATCACTTTGTACAACAGCATTTTGCCCAGTGTATAGCTATATAGATGCTGGATAACAATTCCCTTCTTCCCTCATCATTAACTAGGATGGTTCATAGGTGTTGCTGGAGGGCAATATGTTCTCTTTCTATAATGTAGACTGAAGTAATGATTTTGTTAAGCACTGAACTGCATCAGGCTGAAGATGTTCCAGAATAGCTGCTACTTAATATCTAGCCAGTATATAGATCTCAGAGTTAATATGCTAAGAAATATGAAAATGCAAATTCATGCAAATTTGTGCTGCATTTAAAGACAGTTATATTTATGATATATGTACAGACTGGACTCCCAGCATTTAGAAACTTTACAATATGTGAATTATGGCATATTTTATGATTGCAATCAGAATCTCATTGCATTGAGAATTACAGTATGGGTTTTGGGCTGTGGTTGTGTCAGGGCTTGACATTCCCAGTGACAGTTTCATCACTACCCCAAGAAGATACTTCTATTCCTCTGAAATGAGCCAACCACAGATATGTCACTTCTGTTTCACTGCATGATGGTTTAGCAAAGGTATAAATAGAATGAAAAGAACAGCATGGAAGATTTTTGCCCCCTAATTTTTGTCATCGGCTGAAATTAAAAAGTACTCTGGTAGAAAAAAAACTTTTTGTTTTAAATATTTGTTTGTTTTTAACAAACCAACTCTATGTGGCAAGTGGCTGAGAATTGGAAAAACTCTGTAACCCTGTGAGTAATAATACCACAGGATGCCTACAGATATATTCATGTGAGCATGCCTCTGAGAGAATAAATGTCCTATTCCAGAGCTCAGACCTCCATGTTATAATGAAATAAACTGCTGTTTCCCCTACATATTTCAGGAGATGTATTATTATGGTAGCATACAATAACTACAGTATTCTACACACCTGGTTCACCTTCACATGGCCCAGTCTGCTCTGTGTGTGTGTGTGTGTGTGTGTGTGTGTGTGTGTGTGTATCCATCTGTCTTGTTTCTCCTTATGTATTTATTAATCATATTTATATCCTAGAGAACTAAAAGCAGGTAATATGCACAATGTACTATTTTATTTAATAGGATTTACTCATATAGTATATAGTCATACTACTGCACTTACATTGGCTATAGAATGCAAAAGAACTGCTAAAAATCAGGATTTTTCTTCCTGGTAGAATAACTCTTAAAACATCTATACAATATTAGCCTTTCCAATGGTAAATAGGAAACTGAATTATTATTTCTCTTTTTTTAAAAAAAAATTGAAATTGGGGTAATTTTTGTAATCTTATCTATTTTTTAATTAATTTTTTTCATCATAAAGATACACAAAACTATACACCAAACAATACTTGAAAAAAACATAAATAACAAATACAGTCATAATTCCGATTGATTTGAAGTTTTATAAGGTTGGGGATAATATGAAAAACTTTTTAAAAGGAAATTTTAAAGGATATTCTTTAAAATGTAGATAACCCATTTTTAGGTAACATGTTGAAATGTTACAGGAGAATATTAAGTCTAGAGATTTCCCCATTGACACGTGTGGTGGAATTACATAGTTTTCCACATAACCTGAATTAAAAAATTGAACAATATTTTGTCAGAAAAGAGAGCCATGAAAAGTAAAGGTCAGATTAAGAGGATGTTTAATATAGAGAGAATAAAAGAGGCACTAGGAGAAGAAGGAATTACCTAGTTGAAGGTAAGACAGATAATTGGATTAAGGAATAGAGAAAAACGGAAGGAGAATGTAGGAGGATGACTAAATTTGAACAAGTTATTGAAAAGAGGGAAGAGATGGAAGAAAAAATCAAAGGAAAGGAATAATAAGTGTACTATATAAGATATCAGAGGATGAATATAATATATCTCACTGAAAGAGATATGGCAAGGAGATTTAAATAAAGAAATTAGTGCTGAAGCATGGAAAATGATCTGGAGGAAAGAATAATGAAAAATATGTCAGTTAAGGTAAAGGAAACTTGTTATAAAATATGGAGATGGTATTTAACACCAACAAAATTGAATATAATGAATAAGAGATACCATCTATATGTTGGAGATGTAAGAAAGAAAGGGGAACGTATATGTGGTGGACGTGTGAAGAGAAACAGAAGATAATTGTTTTCAATGAGATTTAAGAAATTATAAGGACAGATATGCAAAGATGTCCAGTGATAGCTCTGTTACATATGTTTGGAAACAGTCAATTAGGTACAGGAAAAATGGAACTGACTGTTATTATGTTAATAGCAGCAAGATTGATATTTGCAAGAAATTAGAAAAATACTAATCAATTTTGAATTTGGAAGAATAGCATAATGAGATATGGAATCTAGCTATTAATAATAAATTAACTTGTGTATTGAAACTTAGAAAGGGATTATTGAATGAATTATTATTTCTGCCCTGTTTCAGATGTGCCTTGCATCTGAGCAAGTAAAAGTGAGAGAACCTGGAAAGGCAAAATTAGAAGCATCCAGAATTATCAGAGTCTTGGAATCACCTGAACAAGTAAAAGTCGAAGAACCAGAAAAAGTTAAAGTAAAAATTGAAAAATCTCAGAAGGTGAAGGGCCTTGAACATGAAAAAATAAGAACTGGAGTGTTGGAGGAGATGACAGAATGCAGCCATGTTGCAGCTTCTGCTTTGGAAAGCACATTAGTTGGACCCAACAGCACAACTACAAAAGATCTTGCATGCTGTTCCCAAGACTTCGCAACAGCCAACATCAGCACCTTAGGATTAAGCAAACCAGAAAAGTTAAAAAAGAAAAAGAAGAAAAACAAACTGGACCAGCAAACACTTGAAAAATGCCCTGCTAAGAAGATATGCAAAAAGAGACAGTCTTCTGAGTCAGACATTGAGAGTGTCATTTATACTATTGAAGCAGTTGCAAAAGGGGATTGGGGGGCAGAGAGACTCATAGAAGTGCCCCATAAAAAAGTCCGCCTTTCTTCAACAGTGAAGGGGAATATCTTGGACAAAAAGTCACCAAAGAAAAAAGTGAAGTCAAAAGAGAAGAAAGCACTGAGGGGAAAATGTGTAGACACCACCAAAGAACCAAAGCCTCCTGATGTTTTTAACATTACAGAAGACAAGGAGCTACTGTGCGAAGCACCTGAAAATGTCAAGTCAGAACCGCTAACTCCAACAGAGGATGTGTTACCACAGAGTTTACCAGAGCAGGTGAAAGTCGAGGACAGTGACTGTGGCAAAAAAGCAGAGACTTGTGGCTCAAGGAAATCCGAGAGAGCTTGTAAGGGTGCTCTGTATAAAACTCTAGTCTCAGAAGGCATGCTTACATCGCTGCGTGCCAATGTTGACAGAGGTATGTAAATTTTGAAATATACTATATGTCTCTGACCCAAATGAAAGAAAGGGGAGAGAAGAAAAGAAAAGTCTGAAAATACCATTGTAATTTTTAATTATTATTTTATTATCATTTTTTATCTAGAACTGATTACAAATTCAGCTGAATAGACTATATGTAAATACAGTCCTGTGCATGTTGGCAATTTCCACTGTCTTCCGTGGTGCCTGCTTTGCTACTAAGTGTATCCAGGGTTGCAGCCTTAATCACATCCATCCAGGATGTGTAATTATTCTTGTCATCTTCATTCTTACTGTAACTCATTCTCTGTGTTTACTTATTTGTGAATTTGTACCCTGCTCTTCCTCATAGTAACTTAGTTGAAGTGTGTTTCCTTTTTTTGATTTTTCTATAGAAGAAGGTTAATGGGCCCATATGTGCTTAATTGAGGTGGGGGGAAAGGTGAAAATAACTGGGAATGTGAAACAGCAATGACTATGTGAACAACCTTATAATGAAGCCCCAGCATAGCGAACACATAATATCCTTAGTCCATTGATACTTCATTAATTCAAGGCAGAACACATAATATCCTTAGTCCATTGATACTTCATTAATTCAAGGCAGAATACATTGCATTTCCATGTAGTCTTCCGTCCAAATTAAAGTAAACATATTTGTTTCATTCCCAATTCATGTAGAGGAGCATTTTATGAGGTGTTTTTTTTCTCTCAGTACATTGAAGTGTCTTTAGCATCTCTGTTCTCAGCATTTCATTGGAGACAAGGGTTTGCTGGAGTTTGATACTAAAACTAACTTTTTTAAAAAATGTGTTTATTAAAAAAAATCTCTGTTCTATAATGTTGAATGCGTGAATGATTAAAATCGGGACTAGTGATATTGTTTTATACTTTTCTTTGGCAGATTCTTTCCCCTGACAAAGCGGTGCGTGTTTTTTTAAGGGATAATTATATTTAATTACACCTTTTTACAAATACTTGAACAATTGTTTGCAAGTTAAATACAAAATAATGGTCTCAGTTACACAGTTGTCCACATGCTATGAAACCCTTGATTTATTTCATTTCCAAGCTTTCTCTGATTCCCAGGTTTCCTAGCAGTTTCGGTGTGGAGAAAAAACAAACATAAAAACTCATGCCTTCTTCCTGATACCTTTCACAGGGAAACGAAGCTCAGGAAAATGTGGCAGTTCTGATCATGAAGGATGCTGGAATGAAGAAGCCTGGGCATTTTCCCCAGGAGGGGCAAGTGGGAACAAAAAGCTTAAAAGGCCTAAGCCAAAGGAAGAAATAGTTTTGGGGTAAGTTAACATCAGGTGGTCAGTTCTGGGCACCCCTTTTTCCCAGAGATGAGAAACTTATGTTTTTGGATTCCATGTCCTAGAATCCCCTAGGCAGAATAACCATTGGCTGTGAGATCTGAGAGTTCCAGTCCAAGAAACAAACATTTCCTAGCCCAATCTGTCTTTTATAGCTCTTTTAAAGTATAGAGGAGGAAAGACCTTTTATTCATGATTGTATCTTATCTTTCTTTAATTGGAATAGTCTTACAAGAAACTCAGCAGTGAAATCTCCTGTTCAGAATTTAGTTTTATTTTTCCTGATTCAAGTTATGCTTTTGTTTAGTAGCAAGAGCCACATTTTACAGATTGGTACCATGGACAGGAGGTAGAGCAATTCAAATAATGGTAATTACATGTGATCATTATTATATACCAACAATCCAAATTATTTCCCATAGCAAGTAAGTCAAGTATGGAGAAATTTGCTATGGGAATCCACTTACTGTTAAGAACTATTCTTTTGTCATTATCTACATATTCAAACTGCTCACAGCTACAGTGAAAAGTAATATACAACCCTTAGCTGACCAGACAAAATAGAGACATCTACCTTTACAATCAATTGCTCCAGTTATTCTGTGAAGAACAGAGGATACAATATTTAAGTTCCACTGGAAGGCATCAGTCTTACTGTGTGAATTTGTTTGTTTTAAACCCATTTATTTTCTGTGCTAACTTGTTGCCTTTAATTCTTTAGCTTAGCAAAACTGGAAGAAGAATTTGAGAAAAAATTCAACAGCCTCCCTCAGTACAGCCCTGTCACATTTGACCGGAAAAGTGCTTCTATACCAAGAAAAAAGAAAAAAGTTGGTAGCTGCTCAACAGACCAACCAAAGCCTAAAAGAGGTAAGAATTCTTGCCACACACACCAATTTGGGATCAGAACAATGTACTGATTCAGAAGCTTTTGTAATCTTGCTTTTCATAATATATGCAGTATGTTGTTGTTTGATTGTTTAGTCGTGTCTGACTCTTTGTGACCCTGTGGACCAGAGCACGCCAGGCCCTGCATATAAACCAACATGAATTTGACCCAACTCTGGGAGGTGGTGGAAGATAAGAGTTGGGTCAAATTCATGTTGGTCTATATGCAGTATATTCCTTGAACTATATTCATCTGTATGCAGTATAGATACATATATTTTTGAGCATGTCAGAAATTCCACATTTGCAACACGCCCCACCCACAAGCACGACACGACACCATGCATGTGTGGGGGTGGGGGTCCATGTCCACGGCACAGTTCAAGGAAGTCCATTCACCGGGGCTTGGGGACCCCTGGTTTAATTAATTAATTAATTTATTTATTTTATTTATATCCCGCCTATCTGGTCGGGTCAGGACCACTCTAGGTGGCTAACAACATAAATGATACAATAAAATTAATATACGAAACAATTATTAAGTGGTAAGACATTACACAAGGTGGGAGGAACAATAAGAGAGGAAAAAAGGTATTAAGGGGCGTCAGGGATTATCTGATGGGGAGGCCTGCCGAAACAGCCACGTTTTTATTTGATTCTTAAAGATATCCAGCGAGGGGGCCATGCGAAGCTCAGGAGGTAAGTTGTTCCAGAGGCGAGGAGCCACCGCCGAGAAGGCCCGATTTCTTGTCTTCTCCTTCCGGGCCTCCCTCAGCGTTAGGCTCCTCAACCTCACCTCCTGGTTCGCACGAGGGACACAGGTAGACCTTGGTGGGAGAAGGCGTTCCGCCAAGTATCGAGGCCCTAAACCGTTTAGGGCTTTGTACGTAAGCATCATCACTTTGAAGTCGATGCGGAAACGGATGGGCAGCCAGTGCAGTGCGGCCAGAGTGGGTGAGATATGTTGGAATTTTTTCACTCCACTAAGTAATCTGGCCGCCGCGTTCTGCACCACCTGCAGTTTCCGCAGCAGCCTCAAAGGTAGCCCCACGTAGATAAAGGATATGGGCCAGCTGGAAAGTTTCCAGAGGAGGTTGACCAACACAGTAATGTATCTGGAAACATGGCCATTTGAGGGATAGTTGAGAAAGTTGGATATATGTGGCCTGGAGAAGATTATGGGGTGTTATGATAGCTATCTTCAAATATATCTTGCATCAGCCTGAGCAATATAGTCTTCTGTCACTCTAGAGTGTAGGATTCAAATCAGTGGATCCAAAGTACAAGATGACTCCGACTAAGGAAGAACATTTTGATAGAAGAGCTGTTCTGCAGTGGAACAAACTCAAAAAGTGGTAGACTCTCCTTTATTGGAGGTTAAAACGTGGATGGTTACCTGCCAGGATGCTTTAGCTATAAACATCCTGAATTAGCAGGTTGTAGGATGAAATAATCTTTTAAGCTATCTGTCTCATCTACAGTTTTGTGAAACTTTTAAAGACAATTCTTTTTGTATAAACATACTGTATGTTTTAGTACTACATGCAAATTGGCCATGGGAATTGGATTCATGTGACACCAATTGTAACAGTTTTATCAGGCAAAGCCCATACAATAGTCATGATAATTCTAGATATACTTAGGTGCAGGTCTTGTTCAGAAAAGTTTCCCGTATGTTTCATTAAAATCTTCCTTCTCGTGAAGAAAGAATCCATAATTGAATTCCACGAGGAATAGGAACTAATAAAAGGTAAGTTATTTGATAATACTCTGCCTGCACTGAATGCTTATAAGTGGTGGGGGCAGGAAGAAACAAACATCCAATTAAAGTCTGTGTAATCATGAACACATCCCCCCAAAATCTACCTATGCCGGTTTATCACTCCCTTCAGTAATAACTAATATTTTCCTGCTTATTCTGCATTTGCATTTTTAGGGGGAGAGATAGAATTCATTACAGGTGAAATTGGGAAAGATCCACTTCTCATCATCCTTTATCAGGCTGACTGGTAGGAGATGATGGAAGTACTAGTCCATTGCTACCTTAAAGCCACATCTGCCCAGCCCTGGAAATCTCTCTCTCTCTCTCTCTCTCTCTCTCTGTCATATTACATTTAGTACTTCTGGTTGGCAAGTACAGCTGCTTGTTCCATTTTAGCCCCCCCACACACACACACACAGAAAACATGTCATATTACATTTAGTACTTCTGGTTGGCAAGTACAGCTGCTTGTTCCATTTTAGCCATATTAAAAGACAGAAAGCCACAAAGAGCTAGTCAGTACAGAAGGATAACCATTCTCCCTTCTTTCCTAAATGCTCTAGAGTCTGCAACATCACAAGAACCTTTGGTTGGCAGCCAGAAAAGGAAAGCAAGAAAAACCAAGATTACACATCTGGTCAGGACTGCAGATGGACGTGTCTCACCAGCAGGAGGGGTTTTGGGTAAGAATTCCATTGGATTTATCTGAGTAGTTCAGGAATATAACCAAATTATGCTGTGTGTGTGTGTGTGTGTGCATATGCTGTGTAGTTAGGTGTGTATTTAAACCATGGGTTGTTTCTAGAAGGTAGGATCTTTGAGTAAGGTCAGCCTGGCATTAACTAGGAGAATTACCTTCAGAAGTCATGTTAAATGGCTGAAGTTTGTCCTATTTCTGCTTCCTTTATAGAAGAGAAACCAAAGGAGCAGCTGCAGAATAATTTTCAGAAAGCATCAAATACAGGGATGGACTGCAGTAAGGAGTCTTTGCAAAACAATGAATTGGAGGAGGGTCATAGTGTTACACCAGACATGCCATCTGTATCTGCATTCTTTAGTCTAGCTGCTCTAGCAGAAGTAGCAGCCATGGAAAATGTGCACAGGTTGGTAATGCTTTCTTCTTCCTTTGGGTTTTAAAGAATTAATCCTTGAAGCATGCATACCCGTCCCTGAAATTAAGTATTCAAATCAGGAAATGCTTCCTTGATCCATCTGTAGTGTTTTAACTAAAAGCACTCAATTTGTAAAAGTGCAGTTTATGCAGTGAATACATTCAAACTCATTGTTGTATCCAATCCATTACCCAACAAAGAGGCTTGTGTGAATAAAATTTGACACACACATGTAAACCATACCAGTTCAGACTCCACACTCATTTTAAAGGAAACAGGAAAATGCAAAATATATTCAAATATGTTTGAAGATTTAATATATTCGCGAAGGATTTCACGACCGGGATCTAATGGTTGTTCTGGGTTTTTCGGGCTCTTTGGCCGTGTTCTGAAGGTTGTTCTTCCTGACGTTTTGCCAGTCTCTGTGGCCGGCATCTTCAGAGGACAGCAACGTTGCTGTCCTCTGAAGAAGCCGGCCA